AGACAAGACCGAGCAGAGCTCACCCTACATACCTATCCAGTGAACTGTCACTGATACCAGATCATGGTGAATTTCGGTAAAGAATTGGATGGGTGGATGAACCCGAATGGTTAACATGTGCTGCTTGCTTGCTTTCCTTGTGGTGTGTGGAGGCCTCGGGCAGGCTAGGAAAGTGCTCTTACAACATTGATCTGTGTTGTGTCCCCATCCCTAACTAACAATTTCCAAACAGCATTGCACAACCTAATCCGCCCAACATCGCAGAGGTGCTGGATACACAAGTGTTGATCTTTCCAGGGAATTAAAATTGCTCTTTCTTCCTGTGTGATCGGATAGTTTACAGCGTATACCTCAAACATTTCCTTCTTTTGTTTATGTTAGAGACAGTCTCGCTCTGCAGCCTGGGCTGACCTGGACTTGCCTACGTGTTCTAGGAAATTTTACAGCAATCCTGATTCTGTCTCTTGAGCCAGAGACTACAAGTGCTGTGGTCTTCTTTCTGTCCTTTCCTCCTCCTTTCTTTGTTTGGTTTTTGATGTTGTTTTTAACAGAGCTTTGGAATATGTAAACTGTGTAGCCCTGGCTATTCTGAAATTTCTGGATTCTTGGGTTCAATAATCCTCCTGCCACAGCCTCCCCAGCGTTAAAATTACATGCAAGAATCATCGCATCAGGCTTTTCATCCACTTTCTTTCTCTTCCCTCCCTCTCCCCCCTCTCCTTCCTTTCTTTCAGTCTCATCATAGCCCAGGTTGTCTTTAAACTTCAAATCTTACTGTCTCAGCCTCCCCAGAACAGGGACTACAGATGTGGCCCCACTCTTGGTGTTCTCTCTCTCTCTCTCTCTCTCTCTCTCTCTCTCTCTCTCATGACTAGATCCACCATGGTGATCAACAAACATTAAAGTATAGTCTGAGATTACTATTGTCTACTGAAAAACAGGGCGATCATACCAGGCAATTGGAAATACAATTCCTTGATTTGTTTTCTAGGCCCAAGATTGCTTTTGTTTCTGTTCTAAGCTGTTGTCTGTGTTTCTAGGTAGTTCTTTGGTCTTCTCTACTGTGGTTGGCAGTAATCTGATCCCTTCTTGCTGTCAGTCTGCAGTGTGCCAGCAATTTCACTGTTTCACATTGGCTTGCTGGTCTGCTGGTAACTGATGTATGTATGTGTATGTACACCCACATGTGTGTTGCTAAGCAGGTTTGTTGGTATTGTCAAAATCCCCTTTTCGTGTCTGTCTGAGCATTGCCAGAGCAAAAATTTTGGCTTCTTTGGCCTATCACATGCTGTTTTGAGAGGAAAGCTTCAGGCCCCCTCTTCCTCTCTCTCTCAGCAGAATGGAAGTCACATCTTTTTTGCATATACAGCATTCTGTAAAGGCCATGAGTCAGTGATGTCATAGCATGGTGGGTGGAGGACTCCACCCAGCTAAGGGAAGTCATGAGGTTGCCCTGAGTCGGCTGACCAAGTCAGTGTCCCACAGGAATAAAACTGGAAAGCCTTGGCTTTGACCTGTTGAACTTTATTAAGAAACCTAGTCAGGTTACAGGCTGAAATTGATTGGCATCTTTGTCCTCAGTTGCCCCTTAAACATCAGATTTCCACAGGGTAAACTATAAAGGCAACATGTTATATACATAAACATAAGTGAAGCAGACCTTAGCCTTGAGATTATTTAGGCCTTTAGGTTCATGAACTGGGATTTGAGAGCAGATGACAAATAAGCAAAATATGCTTAGCAAAGACCTTGATTTTAACATTAGGCAATGACTGAGTTGGCCCCTGGAGTTCTGGGACTATCTGAGTGACAGTTTCACTGGACCAGCTTCCTTTGCTTTCAACGAACTGATAATGTTTGGTCACTGTTCTGCTTCCTCAGTGGGATGTGGATCAGTGTGGGTACCTAGCAACCATCATCACCAAGTCCCCTGCAGATGGTCTGTCCTTGACCTTCACCTAGGGACACTCAGGAGGGAACCCTTCTGTGTGGGAACCATCTTTGGCTGAACAAGAGCTTGGCTTGGAAATCTCTTCTTTCTCCATCTTCTAACAATCACTTTGAATTATCTCCTGCAGATACGAGGTCAGATGACCAAGATTTTAAACCTGCTTGGTCCCCATGTTCTTTTCTCAGCCACAATGACCAGGTTGTGATTTTCAGAGGAGGAGTGTTTGCTCTCAAGCAAGGTCGGAACTGCTCCTTGGGAGTCAGGAGAACCTGTTGAAGGCTGTGAAGTAAGCTAACAGAGGGAACAACTTAGGAGGCAGGGCAGGCTTAAGGATCCAGGCTACAAGGCCTGGTGGGATACCCCTGGAATCCCAGTACTTAGAAGGCTGAGGCAAGATTGCTGGTTCAAGGACAGCCCGGCCTATGTAGGGAACCCCTGCCTTAAAATACAAAACCAAACAACCCCCAAAACAAGCTAAAGTTCTAAGTCATAGGAGTGGCCTTATCAGATCTCACAGGCCCCACCAGGAGGATGCTGGGCCTCCAGGATGTGTGTGTGTTGAAACACTGTGGTCCAGATGGAGAGGCCAGAGCTATACTGAGGCCCTCAGCACCCTGAGTGGTCCAGGACATCGAGGAATGGAAATCAGGCTGCCACCAGAAGAAAGGGGCTGTAACTCAGATAACAACAAAAGTCACTGCAGACCTCTGAACTTCAGACTATAAGTATGTTTGAAACAGCCATCTCCATCTGATGCATTATATATTCCTAGAAGACATGTGATTGTTTTCTCTCTCGTAAATATTTAAATTTGGCCTGTGTTTCAGCATTGGTTACATCCCACTGACATTTGTTAGTCACCACTCATCATCATTTGGATTCTCTCCAATCCTGTGAAGGGCCTAGTAAAGGTCCTTCATGGCTACTGTGTATAGTGCAGGGCTTAGCACTATGGGACATTCAAAGACTTGTCTATTCTTCTATTCTTGTGTATGCCCATTTATTACATGTGTTATGTTTTTGAAGAAAAAGAGGAGAAGAGGCGTATGAGACATGTTAACTAGTTTATTATAAGGCCCGGCAGAATAAGGGGACTAGGAGAGAAGAGGAACAGGGGTAATGGCTGACTGCCATGGCCGGTCGCCATAGAGAGGCAGAGAGGGCACGTAGGTGAGAGAGAGCGAAGAAGAAACAGAGAGAGAGTAGAGAGTAAAGAATAAAAGAGTAAAGAGAGAGCAGCAGGGAAGTTGGAACTTTTAAAGGGAAGACTGCACTTGCGCACTGAGGTTCCACGCATGCCCAGAGTCCTCACGCAGGCCGTAATGCGTGGTGGGTGATGTGATGGCACGTCCCTGTGCGTGCCCTGACTGTTGTCAGGGGGCGGGTTCTGCCTCTTAAAGAGATAGAGGCAGAGCCGATCAGCATCAAAGCCTGAACCTTTCAACATGTGCCTTTATTATTTTCTTATCTAGTCTTATTTTTTTGTTTGTTTTTTGTTGTTTTTCGAGACAGGGTTTCTCTGTGTAGCTTTGGAGCCTTTCCTGAAACTTGCTCTGCAGACCAGGCAAGAGCCTTAAACTCACAGAGATCCACCTGCCTCTGCCTCCCAAGTGCTGGGATTAAAGGCTTGTGCCACCACTGTCCAGCCATTCTTATCTATTCTTATTTTAAATCTAGAAAGTATCAGACACAGGGGTGCATAGCTGTAATCTGAGTTCTCAGAAGGCAGAGGCAGGAGAGTTGCTATAAATTTGAGGACAGCCTGATCTGTATTGCGAGTTCCAGGTCAGCCAGAATTACATGGCAGGACTGTTGTTTTGTTTTTTAAATGTCATCAGCTGGCTTGCCATTTTATTGTTGGCTACAAGGTAATTCCTTCACAATCTACACGACTTCACTCAGGTTTATAACCGAGTGCCTAAAGCAAGTACAATTAGCAAACTCTACAAATAGCAGATGGGTGAAAAAAAAAATCCCCAAGAACTGCCGAGGTCAGAAAGGGCCAGTGGAGGGAGGGGTCATGGCCCAGCTGCTAGGGGTCTTCTAATCTGTATGTGATTATAGAGTTTTAGATGACATTTTGTTAACTACATATGTAACTAAAGATTTTCTAAATAGATGTAGTGGCACATGCCTGTAATCTTAGCACTTGGAAGGCTGACACAGGAGGATTGCCTCAGTTGGAGGCCAACAAGGGCTACAGAGTAAAAGCCTATCTCAAACAAAACAAAAAGCTCCACCAAATTTAGAAAAAAAATATTGCATTAAAATAATATTTTATTTGGATTACCTTAGATACATCTTGCATTTCATACCTTCAGTGAATTCTTCCTCAAATTCACTCTAGGCCATATACCAAGCCCTGCCCCCTCCCTTTTTTAGACAAACTCTCACACTGTAGCCTGGAACTCACTACAGAGTCTGGACTGGCCGCTAACTCTCGGTCCATCAGCCTCCAGAGAGCTGGGATCACAGGCACAAGAAGTCATACCCACCCAGCCCAAGCACTTTGAGAGATGTGCTTTTAAATTGACGAAGTAATTTATAGTGTGTAAATATTTAATGATTAGCATAAATATTTAATGATTAGCTCTGACTAAATGGTATATTCATCATCTCAGATACTTGTCATTTCTTTATATTGGGAGCATTGAACAAACTTCTCATCTAGCTCCTTAGAAGTAATTATCAATGTCAACGATTGTTACCTATTATACTATACACCAACATCTTTCTAAGAGATTTTGTAATTTTGTAATTTTTGTAATTCAGGAAAGAGTTCATTGTTTGACTGTTATATCTCCCTGATTCTGGGAGGAAAAGAAAGTGGAACAATAGATTTTGAGAAGCGTTTCCTAGACCCTATCCCCTTTCAGCGTCTTGGCTCTAATCTGTAGTTTTTAAGGACTGAGTATCAACAGCCTACGTACATAGTCATTTTATTAGAAATGTTATATAGAAAAAATGTAACTTTAATACTGAACAGAGGGCTGGTTTGTTAATGTGGTATCTGTTTTCAAACAATGTGTTTGTTTGTTTGTTTGTTTAGGGAAATCAGGAACAAGGCAAACATCCAATTTGGAGAGAATGGAACAACCATATCGGCTGTTAGCAATAAGGCATATGTTTTTGAACGAAACCAATCTGTTGGCGACACTAATGTTGACTTGATTAGAACGATAAATATTCCTCTGTTGGTAAGTGGACCTCAAAGTATGGTTATCATGGGTTTGTGGAAGGAAAATGGCAAGCCTTATAGGTTCTATGTAATTTAAAAGCTATTATTTTATGATAAAATATAGATATGGGGGGCTTGTCTTGCTTAATGTGGTGAGTCCCTGAATTTAATCCTAGAACCACCATAAAAACAAACAAACAAGCATAAAATATGGACGTGCACAAAGACTTTATTTGTATGTGTTGGGGTGTGGGGGTGGGGTTGCTCCTGGCCTCCAGCTGGCTGTGTCAATCTCCTTTCCTTTGTCTTCCTAATCTTGAATTATAGGCATGCTCCAGTGGCAATGCCTAGCAAGCCTTTCATGTACATGTACTTTTATTAAGTATATAGATATAGACTTTTTCTGAGGTCAGTAAAACAAGGTCATTACAAAAGTTATTCAAAGATTAGGTCTCTGGGATTTTTCCTTTGGGTTCAGGATTAGCATTTATGCAAATAAGTAAGGAATTTTTTTTTTTTTTTTTTTTTTTTTTTTTTTTTGGTACTTATGCCATCCTGAGACTCAGGGTCTTTCTTTCTTGAAACTGGATCTCTTTTAGCCCAGGCTAGCCTTTGTTTTAGTGTGGTACTAGGGATCAAACTCTGGGCTTCCTGAGTAGTCCAGAAGGGGGTCAGGGGCTGCTTTACCCAGTGAGCCATATCCCTAGTCCTAATCCTCTGCACCAACTTCCTCTGAGGCTTCCACACTCTAGGAACCCAGTACCTTAAAGAGCACAGATGCTAAGTCTTGCCTTGCCCTGCTGCTAAAGATGTGGAGATTCAGTCACCAGTCTGCTCCAGGAGAAGTGGAGCCACCTGGTGGCTAAAGGTCCCTTTGCACTTATGGGATCTCTGTGATGTTGGGCATCATTCAGAACCCGCTAACAGGAATTCTAAAATCACAGTTACATTAAGGTGGATATGATCTGGTGGTCCAGGTCTGTAATCCCAGCTCCTTTCTGAGGTAAAAACTGAACAATTAAAAAGCTCAGACTGGGTTTCAGAGTCAGTTCAAGGTTAGTCTGGGCAACTTAGTGAGACCCTGTCTCAAAATTTACAAAAGGGGGCTGGGGCTTAGGATAGAGATCAGTGGTAGAGGGTTTGTCTACCATGCGCAAGGCCATGAAGTACACACACACACACACACACACACACACACACACACACACAGAAAGGGCCATGGCTGAAATCTTACTTCACACACAGACAGGGAGGTCACTGGTTGGATTTTCTGTTTAGTTTCTGGCCCATTCTGCAGAGGGGCAGGCAGAGAGCTGGGTGGACATTTTGGAGGGGACACTGATTAATCTGCCTCTGCTCTGCAGACTGTTGTGGAACTGACCCAGCTGCCCCTGCTTAAGGAAATCATTGAGGCCATGCTGAAAACCTACCAGCAGAAGCTGTTTGTGACTCACACAGTGCACGAGCTGCTCTGGGGCTATAAAGATGAGATCTTGTCCCTCGTCCATGTTTTCAAGCCTGGAATCTCCCCTAACTTTGGCCTGTTCTACGAAGTAAGTTTTCTTCCTAGAACCTCTCCCCAGTTCACAAGCGGAAGAAAGCACACAAGACCAACAAGTGCATCTTGAGAATGGTTTTCTTCTAGGCAAAGACCAGCATTGCCTGGAGATCTAACTATGTTTAAAAGTCTGTGAAAAGTAAGACAGTGGTTTTGGAGGGGGGGTGGGCAGGGAAAGAAACAACAGTAAAACGTATAGTTGGAGATATATAAAATTGACCCCAGGAATTAAGTTAGGGGTAGGGCAGTCTGCTCATCTTCTGGCGTGTTACTGCCCAAGGTCTCACTCTCAAAGCATAATGCAATAGCATTTCACTTCCTCTCTTTTAGAGGGCAAGCCCTAAGGGTTAACAAAGTTAGAGGCTGTTCAAACACAATTATAAGCAAGCTTTAAATACAACTTCTGTGAGGGCATGGGTCCTGAAAGTCGAGTCTCACCAGCATTGCTTCCTTTGTTCTGGGAGAGCAGCCTGGATACGTGTTCCCTAGAATGTCCCACCTCACAGGAACACGGCTTTCACGGGGTAACTTAAGTATCATAGTATTTCAAAAGTGGTTTTTGTTTTAATGCTCATACTTTATCATTTTTTTAAATTGTAATGTTCACTTATTTTCAGAAAAATGGAACTAATGATGGAGATTATGTTTTCCTAACTGGAGAAGACAATTACCTCAACTTTACAAAAATTGTGGAGTGGAATGGTAAAACGTAAGTATAATAAGATTTTCTAGTGTAAGTTTTTCAATTTTCCATTTAAATAGAATATGCCTTTTCCCCCCTAATTTAATTTGGAGACATTGCCTGATGGTAGAGCATCTACCTACCAAGGATAATGTCTAAATAGGATCCCAGCAATGAAAAAGAAGTTTGTGTTTATCTTTTAGATAAAAATGTAAATGTTGTTAAAATTACTTTAAAAATCAAGATGAGGGGGCTGGAGAGATGGCTCAGGGGTTAAGAGCACTGCCTGCTCTTCCAGAGGTTCTGAGTTCAATTCCCAGCAACCACATGGTGGCTCACAACCATCTATAATGAGATCTGATGCCCTCTTCTGGCCTGAGGGCATGCATGCAGGCAGAACACAGTATACATAGTAAATAAATATATCTTAAAAAAAAAAATAAACAAAATGAGGCACCAGGTGTTGGTGGTGCACGCCTTTAATCCCAGCATTCAGGAGGCAGAGGCAGGAGGATCTCTCTGAGTTCAAGACCAGCCTGGTCTACAGATGAGTTCCAGGATAGGTTCCAAAGCCACAGAGAAATTCTGTCTCAAAAAAACCAAAATAAATAAATAAAATATAATCAAGATGAGGGTAAAAATACCTTGAGAATTAAGTACTGACGATTTGTAGGCTTATCACAACCAGATATGAATAAGAAGCCATGAAGTAGCCGGTTTTCCTTGGTGGTTGTGGAATAATGTGTGGTAGCCGCAGTTAAACACTTTAAAATCAGTGTCCTTGGGTGGGAGGGGACAGCCCACCTCTCTTTTAACTTCCTGAGTGTGAATTGTTTATATTTCTTTTCCTAAAGGTGAAATTCATTTGAGTTCAGTAGTATATTTCAAATTAATACATTTTATTATTGCCTAATTTTTGTTTTATACCTACTTTTTAAAAATTCTTTTTACAGTAATAAGATGGTTTAGCCTTTTATATTCATGATGTAATTACAGATACATTTGTGATATATTATTTGACATGTTTGAACTTATTTTTACATTCTTTACTATGCTTAGATTTTCATGATTAATCTTTTTCATTTTTCTCACTTTTCCTTCCAAATAAGACAATAATTTTACTAGTTTTTTAGCATCCATCTCTTTGCACCTTGAGTTTATTTTACTTTTGAGACACAGTCTAACTATGTAGCCCTAGCTGGCCTGGAACTCCATATGTAGACCACAAGGATCCACCTGCCTCTGCCTCCTGAATACTGGGATTAAAAGATATATGCTGCCATGGTTATTTATTTATTTATTCATTTTTAAAATTTTGGTGGTATTGGTCTTTAAACTCAGGCTTTGTGTGTGCTAAAGCCTCTACCACTGAGGTATAGCCATGGCTTCTTTGTTTTATTTTTGGGATGAATCAAGCTCTCACTTTGTGTTCCAGCCTGGCCTGCAGCTTTTGCCCTCTCTGCCTGGCTCCTCGAATGCTGGAATTGTCACAGTGAGCCACCACAGAGGCTCTCCATTGACCTCTAGCATTTGTCTTGCCTTTGATCATCTGCAGTGCATCCAGATTTGGTTTATGATTCTGTTTGACCCTGGGGCACAATTGTAATCTAAGGCCTCTGGTCTTTCTGATTTGGGGAAACTTTCAACACTTAGCTATTTCACTGACTGGCATACACGAGTCTTGCTACAGGTGAAACTATCTATTCACTGACTGGTATATGCCGGAGTCTTGCTACAGGTGGTTGGGGCTTAGGTTCTTGGTATCTTAATCAAAGCATTGGAATAAGCACATGTAGATTTGCAAACAGCAAGGAGACTTTATTCAAAGCAAAATGATAGTAAAGATCAACATGAAATGATATTGCTGAGAAGCCCAGCAGGGCCACAGGAGAGGAGGCACTCAGGTGATTATTGCTTGCCAGTTTCTTTTTAGGTTCAAGAAGTTGTATGATTGCTAAGGATCATAGTGCATGTGTTTTTTTTTTTTTTTAATCTTGATCGACAGATTGTTTTATGATCTCTTTTCTTCTCTCATGTTCCATCCCATAATGTGTCTAATTGTAATTATATGTAAACCCAACTCTACCTAGGCATAAGATAATAAATAGGGGATTCTCCCTAAATTGTACTTAGATGGCCCCCCTCCCCAGGGTTCAGGATATGTTGGAATGGAAACAAGGTATTATTAATGGGTTGCTAAGGAAGTAACTTATTCCATTGCTTAATGGGATGCAAGTCTGGGGTCCAAGGTTGCCAACAGGTTGCTTGGCGAGTGGGGGTTGTGTGGGGGTGTGTGTGTGTGTGTGTGTGTGTGTGTGTGTGTGTGTGTGTGTGTGTGTGTATGTGTGTGTAGCCCAGCCAAGAAGAGTCCAGGTTACTCAACTAGTCACTATGCTTGTCTGCCTCAGCCCCATTTCCTCACCTCCTAGCCCCTGAATTCCTTGTAATCCAGTCTCTGTGTCTTGATTATTACATTTTTCATTTTCTGATCTTGAATTTATGTAAATTCCCTAGAACGAGTTTCTAATTCATGGGTTTTCTCTTCAGCTACACAGTCTAGAGTTTTACCCCTGTTGATTTTTTCTATTTTTGTATCCAAGCTTTCTATATTTTCAATTTTTTTATTTTGTTTCATTTTTTTCTTCTTTTAATACTGTTATAATATTTCCACCCACTTACCTCCTTTTTTCTTTTGATGGTATTGGAGATCAAACTCAGAGTCTCACAAACATCAGTCAGGAGATATACAGTAAGCTGCAATATCAAGCTCCATTGTTTTTTATGTAAAAAAAAAAGTTATTTATTTTATACATATGACTGCTTTGTCTGCATGTGAGCCTGTACACTATGTGTGTGTCTGATACCCACAAGGCCCCAGGGTATTAGATTCCTTGAAATTAAATGAGCCACCATTTGGATGCTGGGAACCTAACCTGGATCCTCCAAAGAGCAGCAAGTCTTCTTAAATTCCAAGCCATCTCTCTAGCCCCTAGCTTCCACTGTTTTTAAGAATGTGACTGTTTTACTTTGCAATACTAAACACACATTTATGGAATTTTTACCTGAGTCCACTTCCTTATGACATTGTTTTGTAACTTTTAAGTTTCAACTGAAAAATGATTTGCACAATTGTTTCATTTGGGAAGCTAGTCTGGTGTGTGTGTGTGTGTGCGCGCGCGCGCATGCCTGCCTGCCTGCCTGCCTGCCTGCCTGTCTTTCAATCTCTCCCCTCATCTCTCATTATGTACAAGTTGGCCTCCTTGTAGTCTGGAACCAGTGTATAAGGTGTGCCTCCCACCATGACAGCTTAGTTCACATTTTACTGTGAGGCTGTTTCTGAATATTCCTACTCCCAAGCCACCAGCTTTGGACAACAGTGAAACCCGAATAGTAGGTAGATGCTATTTTCTTTGGCCTCTTTTGGTGAGCAGGGAATCTCTGCTCCTTGGACCCTGACTCAAGCCCCTGGTGGAACACTCTCTGTCCTTATTAATGCTGAAACTGACCTCTGCTTCTTTCTTCTTCTTTTCTTGGCTTCGAGCGTGCAGAACAGCATCATTTTAGCTCTACTTACTGCTGTATACTTACTGTCTTTATGTCTAGGGAGATGTTCGCTTGTGATTTGAATGTGCTATGGGCTGTCTGAATGTTTTCCTTCCATGTTTTATCAAGTTTTATTTCCTGTTTTCACTTTGCAAATGCCTTCAGTGCAGGAACTTAGAGTACCATTTGGACCTAAAATTGGGAGAATTGCTATTTATTCCCCTCTTATGACCTGATCACTTGACAGAGGCAAGATGTTACCACAAGGGCCTGGAGGGAGATAGTATGCTTGAATTGTGCTTTCAATATGTGACACCAACTCAATATTAGCATTTCTTGTTGTCCTAGGCAAGTCTGTTATTTTTGGAAGCTAGAACTATTGAGAGAGTAGTCAGTGGTCTTCCATGAATATTAAAAAATGGGATATGTCTATCCAAAGCCCATCTGCCCCTGGCCTAGCTATGAGCAAGGCTGTTATTAATGCCTACTTGGGTTACTGCTTTAAGTAAATCAGTATTTCTATTGCTGTTGCTGTGTTTGTGTATGATGTGGGATGGGGGGCAAGTGTGCCCCAGTGTACAGGCAGAGGTCAAAGGACAACCTTGTGGCCTTGGTTTTTCTCCTCCACCTTAACATAGGTTCCAGAGATTGAACTCTGGTTGTGAGCCTTACAGAACCCCGGGTCTTTATCCACTGAGCCATCTTGTTGGTCCCTAAATCAGTATTTTTTTAAATCAAGTGCTCTTTTTTTATTTTCAAAGATTTTATTTATTTATTATGTATTCAACATTCTGCCTCCATGTATGCCTGCATACCAGAAGAGGATACCAGATTTCATTATGGATGGTTATAAGCCACCATGTGGTTGCTGGGAATTGAACTCAGGACCTCTGGAAGAGCAGCCAGTGCTCTTAACCTCTGAGCCTTCTCTCCAGCCCTAAATCAATATTTCTAAACACCTGTGTAGGATATACTTTTTTTGGAAGAGGAAACAGGAATTTGTGGCTTTTATCTTTTGGTTTGGAGCCTACTTTTTTCCCCTCTATTCTGGTTCCTAGCACATTTGTGCCTGCTTATGAATAAGATGCTCACATAGCCAGCCTCAGTTATACCTGGGAAGGTACTGACCATTAAGAGATCCTACAATCCAACTTGATCATCTTTATTCTTTCTTGTACTTATCAACTCCAGGTCACTGGACTGGTGGACCACAGACGAATGCAATATGATTAACGGGACAGATGGAGATTCTTTTCATCCACTGATAACCAAGGATGAAGTCCTCTATGTGTTCCCGTCTGACTTCTGCAGGTAGGAACTTTAAACTGCAGGAGTGTGAGAAATCTAGGCAGATGCACTCACCATGCACGGGAATTCACAGGTACTGGTAACATGCTGGAGGCACACTGAGAGTGAATGGACTCCACAGGGTAGCGGTTGATGATTTGGTCTTAACATTGTTACTTGCAGCTATGTATATAAATGTCAGGGACCTGATGCAGCTTCTCATCCTTCTCCCTCCACCTCCCTAGTACTACAATTACAGTACGACAATTACAATTACACCCTGTTTATGCAGTGCTGGGATTTGAACCCAGGGCTTCACAGGTGCTAGGCAACCATTCTACCAGTAAACTACATTCCTACATTGACTTAGTATTCTTCTCTCCTATCAGGTCAGTACATATAACTTTCAGTGGTTTTGAGACTGTGGAGGGTTTGCCTGCTTTTCGGTATAAGGTGCCTGCAGAAATACTAGCCAACACCTCTGAAAATGCAGGCTTCTGCATCCCTGAAGGAAACTGCATGGACTCGGGAGTGTTGAATGTCAGCATCTGCAAGAACGGTAAGAACTTCTAGAACTGCTATGGCTGCAGGGGTCTAGAATGCAGACAGGGGCATGCAACAAAGAATTTGTCACCAACCTAATATAGAGTGCAAGCCCAACATTTCAAGAATAATATTTTGGCATGTGCCTGCAATCCCAGCACCGGGTGGCAGAAACAGGAAGATAGTAGCCCAAGGCCAGCCTGGGCTACATAGCTATCACCTGTGTGGTTGGTGACAACAATGACAATGAGGATGACGATACCTATGAAAAATTTAAAACTTACTAGTTTTAGTAGCACATACCTTGGCTAAGATTCCCAATGATTCTGAAGCAGATTTAGTTTGAAGCTCTTATCATGAGTGTCCCAGTGTTTCTTTTCTTTTTAATTTAATGTTACTGCTGTGGGTATAATGGGTGAGCTTACATGTCATGGTGCACATGTGGCTTCATAGGATACACAGTGGAGTCAGCTCTTTCTTCCCACCTTTATGTGGGCTTCCAAAATCTACCTCGGGTTTTCAGGCTTGTATCTACCCTCTGAACATCTCGCACTCTCCCTCTCTGATTCCTGATGTCTCAGCTCTCTGTTCCTTTCTGTGAGTGAGAATCATCAACCCTGCAGCTGACAGAAGGTGTCTTTTTTTTGTCTTGAAGGTTAACTTTTATATAATGTATTATAATATATATATATGTATACTTATATGTAATTTTATATGCATTGGTGATTTTAGCCTTCATGTATGCCTGTGTGAGAATGTCAGACCCCCTGGAACTAGGGTCATAGACAGTTGTAAGCCACTATGTGGATGCTAGGAATTAAACCCTGGTTCTCTGGAAGAGCAGCCAGTGCTCTTAACCACTGAGCCATCTCCCCAGCCCTGAAGGTTAATTTCAACAGTCAGATGTCACAGCAGAATTACCCACAGGGCCTTATCTGACAGGTGTGCCTTGTCCTCTTTTTCTGGTTTTTGTTCTTGGTTTTGTTTGCTTTGAGGCAGGGTCTTGTTGTGTGACTCAGGCTAGCATCCCTCTCCATCCTTTTGTCTTAGCCTCCTGGGTCCTGGGATGATGTGCCTAGCTTAATATCTCTATCTTATCACCATGGAAACAGAGCAAAGAGAAAGGATGTGCTTTTATGAAACTTCTCTAAGTACTTCTTTGCTAGTACTTCTTTTTTTGTTTTGTCTTTGTTCTTGTTTCTTTTTCAAGACAGGGTCTCACTATGTAGTTCTGGCTGTCTTGTAACTCAATTATACAGTCCAGCTGTCCCTGGGATTTCTAATGTTTGTGCAGGATCCCTAGTTAGAATAGAATTCCTCGCTAAAGTAGTGTGGGATGGTTGTTGTTGTTTTGAGACAAATTTTCACCATATAGTCCTGGAGGCTGGCCTCAAATTCAATATGTAGCCCAGGATATCCTTAAACTCAGTGATCCTTCTGCCTCAGCCTCCCCCAATGCCCGGCTTACCATGCCTGGCCCTTTAAAGTTCCTCTGGAGAAGTTGCCTGCATGGCAACCCTCTCTCCTGAATTACAGTACTCCTTTCTCGAAAATAAAGTGGTACACTAACTTGGTTCTCTTGTTAATTGGCATTAAAATCTCCTTTGGAACAAGTCTGAGGACAGCAGCTTACCCTCCTTGTCCTTTTCACAGCAGCCCACAAACCTCACAACAGGGTTCTCTGGAGAGATATTAAAACAGACACATAAGGATGCAACAGCCTGTACGTCTTACATTAACTCGTTCTGAGGATGGGTCGCATGAGATGGTGAGCACTGTGCAGAGGAGCCCAGTGCTCTAACAGTGAATGGGGACACGTTCCATCTTCTAATCTCTCCTGTTGTTGGCTCAGTGCAAGATCCCGAAGCAATGCACTTGATGTCTTACCCAGATGGAGGCATAGTTTTCTGGCTGTATGCTTCTTTCTGAAGGAGTTGATGCCAGAGTCAAAGAAAGACCGAGTTTTGCAGCCCTCAGACCTCTTAGCACAGTGTTTTCCTCTTCGCTTTTTGGAACTCCCAAATGTGGACAGGTTTTGTCAAAGCAGTCTGTCATAGGCGGACAGTTTTCCTTCACAGATGAAATTTGGGAAGTGTGCGGATTTCTGATTGGTGTCAGCATTGTTTGTGAATACGTTTCCAGTGTCCTGTTTGGGCTTAACTCACCTTCACCAGGAATTAAGGGTGGAACTCTTAGTCTTCTAAGTAAGGAAGCACACAAAAGTTAACAGAACATGGAGGTGGTCTTGCTTCTGTAACAGTCACACAATCTTTTTATTTTTTTTTTCTTTTTGAGGCAGGTTTTCATTTAACCCAAGTTGGCCTTGCTCACCATGTGACCACAGCTGGCCTTGAACTGTTAAACCTCCTGTTCAGTGCTGAGCTGACAGGCATGTGCCACTGTGAAGAACAAGACTCTTAAACTTTTTTTTACATTATGCTATGCAGGAGAGCAAGGTCCACTGGTGTAAAACAGTTTGTTTTTCTTTCTTCAAAATCAGAAGCCAGGCATGATAGTGTATGCTTGTAATCCTAGCACTTGGAAAGCAGAAACAGGGGGGAATTCTGAGAGTTCTTGGCCAGCCTGGTCTATGGAGTGAGTTCTAGGCTAGCCTGAGCTACAGAATAAGACCCTGTATCAAACAAACAGCAAAAAACCAAACCAAACAACAACAGCAAAAACTTCATTGTCAGTCAAGTGTGCTCCAAAGTGGGACTTTCTCATCCAGTTAGAACACTTACTCCACAGTTACAACCCCCTGGGAAATTCTGGTGAATTTTGGGAACCTCAGCTTCTTCAAATACAAAATGAGGATAAGGACTTTAGTTTTATAGTGTGTCTTGGAGTATTATTTAACCCAGACAAATAGATAAAAAGTATACTTAAAGCTTCAGTAACTGTGTGTTTAAGTATAAATGTGGCCAGGACTTCAATATAAGATGTCCATTAAAATAATGTGGGATACACAGAGGGCAGAAAATGCAATGTAAATATTGAACTAGGAACTACAGAGAAGTAGTGAGCCTGGCTAAGCTCACTTGGGTGTGGCTTGTCCTTTTCCTTTAAGAATCAATCTTGTGGTCAGGAACTGTATATTCATCTGAGATTTTTAAAAACAGCCTTATTCATTTCTATGTCCCTTACCTCGCAGGTGTACCGATTATCATGTCTTTCCCACACTTTTACCAAGCTGATGAAAAGTTCGTTTCTGCCATAAAAGGCATGCACCCAAACAAGGAAGAGCATGAGACATTTGTGGACATTAATCCTGTGAGTACACACTTTCTCATGTCTTATTGTGTATGTGCAGGTTCTTCTCTTAGTCCAAAGCATTAAGAGATACACTGTCTTCTGTGGATATTTAAGTGGGCAGAAGAAGATCAGGATGCATTGTGGTCTGTAGCCTATAATGGGAAATCCCAACTCCCTGGATCAAACCTGATTTAGAGAAGATAAAGCAAAGAAAAACCAAGGGACCAAGGCTATATAGCTCAGCGGTGGAGTACTTACCTAGCTTGCATGAGGCCCTAGGTTCAATCCAGCATAACAAAATGAAATGAAAACAATGGTACAAATTCAGTCACCAAAGACAGCTGAGACCGGACCCATGTAACCTGGTCAGTCTGCTGCTGGACAGGACACAAATGCATTTCGCATTCAGAATTATAGCTTAATTGTGTATTCTCTGCTTAGAATGCACAGATCTAAATGGGAATATTATCTTCATTCGCTTTTGGCAAACCTTATATAGGTACTGAGTGTCGTATGTATTATTAATGTCAACAGTACCAGATATGTATCTATACTTTGAGTTCACAGAGAAGAATGTTAAGGTGATGGGGGTCCCTTCAAATGTAAGAGTCTCTCACTGTAGAAGCTAAATGAAAAGATCAAAGATCTTGCTGAACCTGGCAGCAAAGACCCATGATCCTAGCTACCTAGGAGATTGAGGCAGGAGGATCACAAGTTCAAGGCTAGCTTGGGCTATAGTGTGTTCCACTCATGCTACACAAGCACCGTGCCAACCAAGCTGCAGCCCCAGCACTCAGATGTGACTATACTTCTTCTATTAGCCATCTAGTACCCTTTCATCAGCCAAACAGAGCAGGGCTTGTCACCAAGGGATAGGTGAAGTCTTGTACCCTCAGCACTCATCTGGGGCTGCTGCCTCCTGCACTTTGGCATCAGGAGCCCTGAACTTGGAAGTCATCTTCCTCTTAGCTCTGGACAACTGCTCAGGTGTCCATACCCAACATGGAATTTATGGCCTCTGATGAAGTGTTCTACTCTTTTCTCTACCAGGTGGCAATATACTGGGAACATGCTAGAAATGCTTTGTTTCATGTTCTACCCTGATCTACTAATCAGAATCTGCATTTTAGCAGATTCCCAGAGATTCGCATCCCCCACAAAGCCCAGTCCACCCAGCACAATTAGTGGCTCCATTGGGGGACCGGTTTTTCCTTGTTTACTCTGCCTGCCAAACATGGTGAATAGGTCCCTGTGGGTCAGAACCACACAGTTACAGTCTGTTGAAAATGTGGCTGGAAAAAAAAATACTAACTTTTTCTCTCTTTTTATCTGCAGTTGACTGGAATTATTTTAAGAGCAGCCAAGAGATTCCAAATCAACACTTATGTTAAAAAAATAGATGGCTTTGTGTAAGTGTTGCTTCTTCCTACAGAGGTAGAGGTGGGGTTTGCCAGGTAGGCATGGTATCAGGGTGGGGAAAGCCTACTTCTAACTGTTCGACTTGTCTGTCCCCAATGGGGTATGGTCTCAATTTTCATGGTACCTTGGCCTTGGCCTTGTACAAATCCCTCTCTATGCAGTACTGTCCATGGATCAGGTGATGCAATCAACACTTTACATGCATCAGCTTTCAGCTTTACATTGACCTAATTTTAGACAAGAGAGAACTAAGACACAGCACTTAAGTGACTTTCTGGGACTCACACGTTCGGTGAGGCTGTGTGGCTCCAGAATGGCTTTTATCCACTCACCTAGCAATGCCTTCCATGCCTGACCCTGGTTTCCATATCTTTTCTTTGTACTCCCTCTGCTTGCGCTTAGGCTCAACCACTACAAGCTCTCATCTGGACAGTTGCAGTAGGCTGAATCCAGCCTTTGTCTCTCACATTTCATCGTAAGCAACTCGTTAGTCAGAATTCCCAAGTATAGCATCCTTCCCAGACTTGCCAGTGGGATTTCTCTTAGCTCTGAAAAAAATACCTACCAAATACATAATTTTGGCAAACCTTCTATAGGTACTGAGTTTCCTATATATTATTAATGTAGACAGCATCAGATATGTATATATACTTTGCACTCGAGTTCACAGAAAAAAAAACAAAACATTAAGGTGATAGGGGATCTCTTCAGCCCTTCAGTGTAAGAATCTTTAACTGTTTTGAAAGGTCAAAAATCTTACTGAGCCTGACAGCACAGACCTGTGATCCCAGCTACCCAGGAGGTTTTGGCAGGAGGATCACAAGTTCAAGGACATAAAACAACACGTGTGTTGTCTGTCTGTGTCCCTCCATCTGTCTACTATCTAATCCATCCATCCATCCATCCATCCATCCATCCATCCATAATGATGTATTTCCCCAATGAAGTCTCCAGATTTAATTCCATGTTATGGGTTCCTTCTAAGAAGCAAACATGGTTTACAGTGATGTCTTCTGGCACCTGTCTCTGTATTTTTGAGGCAGTATGTTATAGTAGTTAAGAGCTAGACCCTTAGACTCAAAATGGAATTACAATCTTGGTTCCACTGCTCACTCATGGTGATCTTGGGCATACTACTTCATCTTTATTAGTAGGCTTCCCCTCTCTCCACCCTGTACATGAGAGTCCCATGGCATGTGACTGCTGTAAAAATTGAGTAAAATAAAGCCCACAAAATACTGAGTACAGAGTGGGCAAACAGTGACCAGTAGGCTCTTGTTGCAGAGATAGGTGTGGGTGGCCTAGAAACTTTCAAAGTGGCAGCTTGTGTCATCCTCTCTGAACAGTGCTCCTTGGATGGTTGCATTCTGTGTTTTATGCTTTGATAAAATACCACATAGATGTGCAGTTTTGCATGGCTGGATGATAATATTGTAGTCTTGATTTCTGATTTATATGTCTTCAAAGATAACTAACAAGTCCACAGTCAATTCTAGGTAACTGTGTGAATTAAGTGTACTGTAATTTTTGTGTGAACATGTCTCTCCAGGTGAGAGATGCTTACATGAGGATGTCTATGAAATAACGCCATCCTTTGTCTTTGTAGTGAAATGGGAAACATTAGGACTATGGTTTTCCCAGTGATGTATCTCAATGAGGTAAGTCCTGAAAGAGAGGAGGAAGCATGTTTTACTGGCCCAAGGTTGGGGTACTTCCATTATGATGTCTACTGTTGTAGTGGTGTGCCATTTACATTATGAAAAGAGGAACAGGTAGCTTTTAAGAAACAGATTTATTATAATAATAATTATTATTACTATTATTTTGGTTTTTTGAAATAGAGTTTCTCTGTGTAACATCTCTGGCTGTCCTAGAATTCACTTTGTAGACCAGGCTGGCCTTGAACTCACAGAGATCCACCTGCCTCTGCCTCCCAAGTGCTGAGATTAAAGGCATGTGCCACCACTGTCCAGCCAAGATTTATTTTTACTTATGTGTGTTCATGTGTCTATCATGTGTGAGTACAAATGTAGGTGCTCACAGAGTCCAGAGGAGGACACTGTGATCTGACCCCCTGAAGCAGAGTTATAGGGGGTTGTGAGCTGCTCCATGTGGGCTGTCTGACCTGAGCCCAGGTCCTCTGCAAGAGCAGTGACACTCTTAATTGCAGAGCCATCTCTCCAGCCTCAATGGTGACTTTTTAAAATATAAACTACCCCCAGAAAAGCTCTCTCTAATACTTGTGGAAGGGACCTGTGCCTGAAAGTTTGTTTGGGTATTTTCTGTCTCAAGAGCACCAGTTGAGCAACACCCTTCTGAAGTGCTGCTTATGTGGGAAACAAGCTGAAGAGGTGACAAAAGCTCTCCAAGCTCTGTCCCATGAAGCCTTTGCCTCCACTGAAGCCCTGATGGTTGAAGACACCTGTAACAGTCAAGTGTCAGGCACAAATGAGATGGCTCAGCAGATAACGGGTGCCTGCTGCTAAAGCAAAGAATTTTGAGTTTGGTCTCCAGAATCCACAGGGTAGATAAGGGAATCAACTCTGAAAACTGTCTTTTTACTACACACACACACACACACACACACACACACACACACACACACACACACACACACACACACCACATGCTGCAACAGCCACACAACAACAACAAACAAACAAATAAAATGTTCTTAAAATTACATACCAAGGTCAGGCATAGTGACATGTGTATTACTGTGAGAAGAGGCAGGGGCTGGTGGATCTCTGTGAGTTCCAACCAGGGCTACCTAGTGAGATCCTGTCTTAAAAAAGAAGGAAGGAGAGAAGGGGAGGGGGAGAGGAGAGAAAGAGGGAGAGGGAGGGGGAGAAAGGAAGACACTAGGCCTGGAAGTGACACTGGAGACTGCTGTCAGGAGGAAGTCCTGATTCTGACAAGCCTGGGACAGTTACAGGAAGATCTGACACAGAACCCTCCCTCCCCCCTCCCCCCTTCCCTGGTCAGTGCAAACTAGGCAGGATTGTTTATCATCCTTAGGGACTTGTGCTCTTTTGATGCCTCACCCATCATACTGAGTGATGGAACCTCTGTTCTCATACTAAAATGCTGTTCTAGAGTGTTTTCCTCAGTTAGGAATTCTCCCTTCAATTCTTGTTAGCACCACGACTCACCTGAACCATTTTTGTGGAGACTGGTGACCGTGATGTGGTCTCACGGCAGAAATGACATCATCTGGGTTCCACTTTTTGCAGGGTTTTGCCCATTCATTCAGTCAGCCAGTATTAATTAAGCACCTATTATGTACTGAGTGTTCTTCCCAGGGTGGAGGTGGCTGAGATGTCTTCCCTTCAAGGAACTCACATAAACAGGTAAACAGTTATGTTGGCTACAAGGACAATAGATTAGGCTCTGGGGAGAGTAACAAAAGCTCCTCTGTCAGGCCTGAGGTAGCAGAGACACTTCTAGAATGAAGTAATGCTGACATGAATCTTGAAGTAACCATCTGAAGTCAAGCAAAGGATATCATGTTACTTATTATTGTGTCACTGTGACAGAAACAACTTAGGGAGAAAGATTTATTGTGGTTTATGATTTCAGAAGGACTTGGGGGCAAGGAGGCCATATTGATGGGCATGGTTGGCAGCAGGGGCATGTGACTGAATTCCTCACATTACAGTAGACAGGAAGCTACTTCTCCAGACAAGTCTCCCTCTCCTAAAGGTCCCATGACTTTCAAAAGCAGTGTATCATGGCAGCACACAACTGTAACCCCAGAGTTCCAGAGGTAGTGCCACAAGTTAGAGGCCATCCTGGTCTACATAGTGAGTTCCTGGCAAGCCAGGTATACAGAGTGAGACCCTATCTCAAAGTAAAATCCAAACAAACAAACAGACAAAAACAGCACTACAAGATAGTGATCAACATTTAAAACATTAGCCTGTGGAGACATTTCATATTTTACCCATAACATGTATTATTTCAATGTTTCTTAATATCTTTTCTCTCTGTTCCAATCTATATTAAGAGTTACAATTGTCTTCAAGATATAAGACATAGCTAGTTCTCAAATAATACTATTTCTTCCGTCTCTAGAGTGTTCTCATTGACAAAGAGACTGCAAGTCGATTGAAGTCCGTGACTAACACGACTTTGATAGTCACCAACATACCCTACATCATCATGGCATTGGGAGTGTTCTTTGGCTTGGTTTTCACATGGCTTGCATGCCGAGGACAGGGGCCCATGGATGAGGTAAGTGCTGGCTGGGGAAATTTCTCTCTTGCTGATAAGTTTACCCTAAGAATTCCTCTATAATCTTTACTGAAGGGCTGTCAGCTGACTCCTTTGAATAGATTTGAGGGTTTTATGGAGGAGGGGAACACTTGATTTTTGTGGTTGTATTACCAATAGACCAATGGTGTGTGTTGAGAAAGGCAGGGTGATAGAATGGTGCCATTTGGTATTTGAGGCTCTCTTGGTGGGTTTGGAATTCCTGGACATATCCCATAGGAAGTAACTTCACATCTTTGAAAACAATAATTTGAAAGAAGAATAAAACCTTTAAGCTCCTATGCTTTGGTGCTTGCTGGACTGCCTGGGTTCAAATCCCAGTTCTGCCATTAAACGTCTATATGACACTTGAATGGCCTCAATTTCATCGTCTGTAAATCCCCCTTTTGAGTTTCCGGAGAGGATTGGATGATATAGAAAGCACAGAGAACTTGGCCCAGTCTTACTCAATAAGCTTAGTTATTACATATGATAAAATGATTCCAGTATTGTAGAGCAAAGGGGCAGAGGCATGCTTGGTAAGAATCCCTGTGTATCTGAAGGTGCTATGGTTGTGATCCCATGGCAACAGTAACATGAGGATCATTAACTTCCAGAAGGAATGGGATAAACTGTCTCAGATCAGCCTCTCAAATGACCAAGAGTTTGAATACCTCATGATGCCCTTCTTTTCTGTGGAAACAGAGGTTGAGGCAAGGGCCTGATATACACCAGGCAAGCACACTAGCATTGAGACTTATGCCCAGTCCTAAAACACAAACACATTTATGAGATGAGGTCTCTCTGAGATGTTGAGGCTGATCTTGAACTTGCTCTGTGGTCCAGCCAGGCTTTGAATTTGCGAATCTCATGCTTCTGTCTCTTTGGTGACTGGAATTACAGACCTGAACCACCTGGCCTGGCCTTAGGCACCCTTCTTGAATGCTCAGCTGACTCTGCTTTTATAGCGTTTTTCTCCCTTCTGTTATCCTGCTACACTGAGCTATGTGAAATAGGAGATGAAACTAGTTGAAACCATATGAGTGATACTGGCTTGGATGACTCTGATGGTGTGTCGCTTTCACTCATGCTAGTCACACAAACCCGCATTAGCAGTAAGGCAAACTAAACTGTCTTACCATTGCCATCTATGGATCTGCCGGGGAATTTTCCTAGGTATAAACAGACCTCCTAGGAATGCTCGTAAGTACCCATCATCAGCCATCTTCAGGTCTTCCACAAGTGTTAGTGAGCATCTCTGGCTTCTGAGACACTGCTCCTAGGTAAGTAACTAATCAGGAAGGAGCTGTCTCAGTCCAGGATGCTAAGGGTTAAGGGTTATAGTCCTGAGCAGAGGTCCGGTATTGGGGGCTGGAGAGCAAGAGCTGTCCGCTGACAGGGTCAGGTTAGAGTCTTGAAGAGCGAAGGCAGCTGAGAGTGAAGGGAAATACCTCCAACCCACTTCCCTTCCTTCCACCTTCTCCATCCCCACCTGGCCTCAACTTTTGACATCAGAAGTTTTAACCCTTCATCTTCCATTGTCTGTCTCAGGGAACGGCAGATGAAAGAGCACCCCTCATACGAACCTAATCAAACTTACCTGTTGCCTGAGCTTGGTGAGAGAATGTGTGAACTGACCTGATCTGGACCAGGACAGGGGAATCCCTGAGTCCTCACAGGCTCCTGGCCTGTCAAGAAGAGGGAGAAGTCACAGTGCCGGCAAGTGAGGAACGCTTCCTGGACAGAGGGTAATGAGCAGGGTGACATGGCTGGCCATTATGCTTTATAAAATCATGTCTCTGAAATTGTTCTAATGTGTCTAGGAAGTATCTAATAAACTTGTGTAGAAACTTTGGGTTGGGCTCTGGGAGCTGTGGGATTTCTGTGACCCCCATTGTAGATACAAAGTCTGCATCACTTGTTAACGTTAGTTGACCTGACCTGATTCAGTATGCCTCATTCTCCAAACTGTGTCTAATATATATATGTATGTATGTATGTATGTATGTATGTATGTATGTATGTATGGCTCTCCATTCAACTTCTTACACAAGAGGAAGAGTGTGGCAGCCAGGGTAAAATGACAGCTTTGTATGATGCACCCACACAGAAGTGTCTGCTTTCTTTGAGACATTACATCCTGCATTTCACTCTCACCTCCAGCTTGTAATTCCTTCAGGAAGATAACTTAGTCTTTTGACTATTTTATGTGGGTAGGAGTCACATGGGAAAGGGGTAGGGTGGAGTGGTGTCTGTACGTAGATAGCTTTGAGCTCCTGAGGATTTTAAAGTTGTGCTTTTGTGGAGCAAGATGATGTTGGGGAGGGTGAGACAGACAGTGTAGAATACAATTCAGTGAGCTATGGCATTCATGGGCTGTTGTTTTTAGTCAAAGCTATCTTGATGTAGAAATATGCTTCTGGGAGGAGGGAACCAATGACATATCCCCCAGGCATCTTTGCCAAATAGGATGGTGATATGAATGATGGTGACTGCCAGATATTGAATGATTACTTGTAAAATTACAAACATTGGAAATCCATCTGCCCATAGCTTACATCACATATAGAATCCAAGTATTGAATGATTATTATAAAATTACAAACATTGGAAAGTCCATCTGCCCATAGCTTATATCACATATAGGCCCAGGGAGGCATTTCATTTGGACTAGACTTTGAAAAGAAAATTTTAAATTCATTCCTTAGGTTTAGTCCCAGCCAGTGTTTTGTGGTTCACTGTCACTTAAGTGCTCTCTGCTTCCTGTGACAATCATTTTCCAACAGAATGGCAAGTGTTTAGTGACAGGTAGAAAGTACTTAAGATGAGGGGGTCTGAAAAGGAGCCGGCTACACAGCAGGTCACAGCTGTTAGACCTCAGTCGTCATGGAGGGTATCATCTTTGCTTCTCAGAGCCCATCATTGATTTTCAATGAGGAACCCTACCTTTATATTACCTGGTCAAACTCTCATATAATTTCATGAAAACTGAATTTTGTTATTTAAAACTGAATTTCAATGTAAACAAAAAAATTTAAAAACTGAGATTTCACATATGTACTTGTAGGTAAAATGTTGCTTTAATCTACAAGCCCAAATTTTCCTCTTTTGACTCTAAAGCAATATGTGACATTTTCCTTCTTTTTTATCTTGGTGTTTTGAGACGGTCTCTCCATGTAGGCCTGGCTGTTCTGGAACTCACTGTGTAGACCAGGATGGCATTGAACTCACAGAGCTCCACCTGCTTCTGCCTCCTGAGTTCTGGGATCAGTGAGTCACCATGTTTGGCTGCTGTGTCTCTTCTTGAAGGGACAAGTTCATTAAATTTTCACCTTTCCTACAAATCAAGGTAGGAATATTAGATTCCCCAAACAACCAAAATGTGAAGACTAATTGAAAATACTTGATCTTTAAAAATGACAAATATCTTTAGACTTTATCAATAATTAACTAGGCAATTAGCTTAACTTGGTCTTCATGCATTGAGACAGGGTCTCACTCTGTAGCTCAGGCTGATTCAAAACTCACTATGTAGCATAGGTTGACCTTGAACTTCTGGGAAGCCCCTTGTCTCATCCTCTCAAGAGCTAGGGTTACAGGTTTGTACTACACCTGACTGTCTTTATGCAAATGCTTATCCACACTAATAAATTGATAAGCTAGTGCATACTAATTGGTTCATTCCTATTTTCAGGATATAGTCATCTCTGAGGAGATTTAAAAAAAAAACAAACAGTAATTACAGCAGTTAATGGTGTACATAGTAGGCTAAATCTCACATAGAAAGAGACCAAAAACAGATTAATTCTTTATTAGTGTCATGGTTATTAATAGTGATGGCTCAAAATCACATTTGATATTTTCCTTCTAAGAGGCTGGTGGCAGACCCATAAGCCACAGTCGGAATTATAAGTTGACTAACAACAAATGTACCCATTTTGTGTGGGGTTGAAAGTAGCAAGCTGTTCTCTGGGTTAACTCTTCTGAGACCATTATTATCCTGGGAAGGTCCCAAAGGCTGTGGGGCCATCAGCATTCTCACACCATAGGATAGCAGGGAACTGGGAAGGCACAGGGTAAGGTGTGGGCATTTCTAGGTAGGCTCCAGGTTCTTCCCAGTTGACTTTACAGAGATCACTAATGATCAGATGGAATGAGCACTGCACAGCTAACCCCTATGGGGGTTTTCACTTAAGGGGGCTACTCTTTAACTTGTTTGCAGTGTGAACTCCCCAAAAGGCCCTCTGGGCATTTGTTACTGGTGTAAATTACTTGTGCCTGATCTCTATGTTCTTCATGTACTTTACACAGTTGGTTTATTTCTTGTGATTCTTGACCTGGTTTTATTTCTACCCATAATGTAATGAAGTGTTTCACTAATTAAAAAAAAAAAAGAGTTTACATGAAGTTGTTGTGTGAACTGTCTTTCATTGGATGGAGTTCCATTTGAGAAATTTGCCTCTGCTGATACATCCCCAATTCACACTCTTGGAGTCACTTATAATTTCAACTCAACTGTAAAAGGCAGGCCACTTCATGTAGACTCTGTGGTTGCTTTTCTGTTGCAGGGTTTTCTTCTGACTTGGAAGCCCCTGATAATGTAGGGAGAATAAATACCAAACACCAAGGCAACCCTTAACTGTAGGGCTGGCAGTTTTCTGATCAGTGTCCCAGCCTCAGGGTCATATCAGGCTCCTTAGTCTAGAACTGCTCTCTAGCAGGACTTAAAAACACTGAATATGAAATCATCTGTTAACTGTGGATTCCAGCTTCTCTCTCTCTCTCTCTCTCTCTCCCTCCCTCCCTCCCCCTCTCTCTCCCCTCTCCCTCCCTCTCTCACTCCCTTCCCCACTCCATCCCCTTCCCTCCCTCCCACTCTCCTTCCTCATCTGGGAACTGCTTTCTATTCATGTTAACTCATTTCCTGGTCTTTCCTGACAGTTCTCCAGTGCCGTTTCTTCCCAAGTCATACCATATACCTGCACTGATGTCCTTACTTTGGGCTGCCCCCAACCATACCAAGTGAAATCCCACAGCCCACGGAAAAGGGGCTAGGAGATCAGACACCATTGGGGATCTGGGGCTTTTGATTCTGGGAACACTTAGATTGAAGCTAATTGTCCTAAAATTCAGAATACCTTTCAAACTTCCCATCTGAATATTACACCTTCCTCCTGAAATCAGAGTACAGCCAGGGCATCAGAAAGTCCCCTGGTTAGTGTTACAGATGTTCTTATGTGAAAGACCTTGGTCCCTAGTATATGTCCTTTCTAGGAACTCCAAACCCAACAGCTTGCATCACAAGGGAAGCTCCTTGTATTGACTTCTTACCTAAAGCTATGCAGAGACAAGTACACCTATGTACCACACCTAGCCCAAATGTTTCAAATCTAAGATTAGAAGAACCCAGAAAATATACTCAAAAGACCAGTAAGGTGTTAAAAATATGCCTAGGAATAATATTTAAAGAACAATCTAGAATAGGAACCACAAAATACAGAGTATAGAAACATGTACATAGATTTAACAGAAAACAAAAGTCTCATTTCCAGTAATAACTTCATTTCTTCACTCATCAAATATAAAAAAGATTTTAAATACATTTAAGGTATATTATATACACTATGTGACCCGTCCCGCAGGTCCAGTCATTCAGGGTTCCGAAGGGGGGCTGCCTGAAAGAGTCATGGGCGAGAGAAAGAAAGGAGACCAAGCGGCGCAAGAAAGGACAAGAGTCCATCTGTGCAATGTCAAGGTCTTGATTTATTGGGGCTTAGAGTGGGCTTAAATAGCCCTGCAACAATAGAATTGGGGGGGAATAACAGAAGGAACATCTGGCATTTGCTAGGGCTGGAACATTCTTCTTATCAGCCGGAACATCTAGTGGTCTTCCTTGGAACAGCGAACAGAAAAGCCCCAGACCCTTTCTCCGAACAGAAGCAGTTAGCAGTTCCACTTGGCCAAACCGTGTCTAATTACAGGTTACAGAAGGCTCATAGAGCTGGCTTTAAGCCGCAAACTTAAAGGTCATTAAAAGGCTTACAAAGGTGGGCTTTAAGCCACATAGTTTTGGGCCCATGACCCCTTACAACTATGAAATTTAATCCCTTGACATGTACAGTGCAATGATTCTAGTAAACTCACTGAACTGTACATTCTTATCATATCAAAGAAATCTAGGCTAGTGTGTAGACACCCCACCTATCGTCATAGCAACTACTAATCTACCTTCTATGTGTAGAGATTTGCTTTGCCAGACATTTTATATACTAGTGACCTAGGTCCTTCATATTCACACACACATTAAAAATGTTTGAGATACTTCCACTGTGTATCCTAGGCTGGCCCCCAACTCAATCCTCCTGCCCATGTCTCCTGAATGCTGAGATCATAGGTATAACTCAGTCCCTGTGATATATATAGGCTTTCCCAGACAGGGTTTCTCTGTATTGCTTTGGAGCCTGTCCCGGAACTTGCTCTGTAGACCAGGATGACCTGGAACTCAACAGAGATCCGCCTGCCTCTGCCTCCCGACTGCTGGGATTAAAGGTATGCACCATTAACGCCAGGCGCAATATATATATTTGGTTTTTCGAGACAGGGTTTTTCTGTGTAGCTTTGGAGCCTATCCTGGTACTCTCTCTGGAGACCAGGCTGGCCTCGAACTCACAGAGATCCGCCTGTCTCTGCCTCCCGAGTGCTGGGATTAAAGGCGTGCGCCCCCAACGCCCGGCTTCGCAATAAATATTTTTAAAAGGAAAAGAAAAAAGAAAAAGAGCCAAGCATTGGTGGCACACACCAGGGCCGGAGAGATGGCTCAGAGGTTAGGAGCACTGTTCTTCCAGAGATCCTGAGTTTAATTCCCAGCAACCACATGATGGCTCACAACCATCTGCTGGCACGCAGGCCGAAGACTGTATACATAATAAATAAATAAATAAATAAATAAATAAATAAATAAGAATTGAGTCAAGAAAAATCTTGTTCCAAACTAGATTCCAGGATAAACCAGCGAAATGACTTTGGGAACGCTCCCATCTCACCTGTGCAAAGTAGTCAATTAGAATCTTCTCTGTGGGGTTGAGGATTAAGTGTTCCCGAGAAATGTGATGCAGGGCACAGACGTTAGCATTTAAAGGGCTCATTTGCTTCATCCGGGTCAGCCCTCCGTTTTGTTCAGCGACGACAGTGGTAAACTATGCAGAGACGAGTACTGGAGAGCGTGCCACACAGCACACACACGTGTCACTGCTAGCCCCATTATCTCTCCATCACTCCTAAACGCCCCTTTCCCAGCTGCTTCATCTCCTCCATCCTCATGTCCTACCGGAAGGCCCCCTGCTGGGTGGTCCGGGCGGCACGGTTACACCCTGAAGCACGCAATCTCCGCAGCCGCTCACCTCGCTAAGGTGGCTTCTAAGAGCCAGCTGGCAACCCTCCACACCTACTTCCCCCTGATCTCCCCTTTGTTGTGACGCCCCAAACCACTTGAAGCCACAACACACCCCCGGAAGTGAGCAGAACGGGGGGGGGGGCGTTCCCGTCCGGCCAGAGAGGAGGCGGAACTAATGATACAGCCCGCGTTTCCCGACCGGGCGGGAGAGCCGTGAGCACTGAGCGTCCGGGTGCGCCGCGGGAGCCCGGGAGCTCGGGACAACCTAAGCGCTGCTCCCGCGACATGGCTTTCAATTTTGGGGCTCCTTCGGGCACTTCTGGCACCTCTGCAGCTACCGCCGCACCCGCGGGTGAGTCAGCCCCTGGACCACCTTCTTCCGAGGAACGGAAGCCTTGGGCCCGCCCCCTCGGTCCGATACCGTCCGGCTGGGGGTCCGTGGTGGCCCTGGCACGCGAGACACCGTGAGGACATTTGGAAAGGGCGGGCGGCGAAGGTGGGAGGGCCGCG